TTAATTTATCGCAAGTCTTGCACTTGTCTAAATTCTTGAGAATTAGGTTTTCTTACCGGTAAGACGGGGGTATTAAATTCCGACTGGCGTTTTCCTCACAGTCCATATTCGAAGAAGGAGTTGATAAGCGGTTCCAGTTTCCGCCTCGCTTCCAATTTTATAGGATATTGTTTTTTCTTACCGGTTGTGCTCCAGGTTTCAATTCAGTTCTAACTGGAGTTTTATTCCTTGCTCGTCCTGGTTTTCCTGATGCCCGTACCAACGGGATTACTGCATAAAATATTCCTTCAGGAATATTTGCATCTTCATCGTTCTCGGGCTGAGTCAGCAAACATATCTGTGCCTTCCAAGTATTTTCTGGGGGAATATGTAATTCTACAGAATTTTTGAAGTTATTTGCGCATTCAATTTACACAATCAATCTCCCCCTCCGGCGTATAGAGAAAGGAATGAGTTACCGTAGTATTTCCAATCGTGCACTCCATTGGTTGCAAAAATGATTTTGGAGTCCTTTTCCCGGTGGCACCAATTACGCTAGTTTTGATTTTACTGAATGGTCCCTTACAGTCTGTAAGTACGGAACGTGTTGCCCCACTACCTATTAAAAATAATCTATTATTTCATTCCCCGGCTTCACTGGAACGGGGGGATCGGCTGGGGAAACTTTGATAGATTCCTCCGGTCCCCTTCAATCTGATCCTATTTCTGCCCGTCCCTCAGCGGCTGTCTCCGTCCCTTTTTCCTGACTTCGACCGATGCGGACAATTGTTTTTCTGAAGACCGATGCTTACAATAAGTACATTGATGAGATCCTAAAGGAGTATCGCACCCATTCCCCCTCAAATTTCCACAGCCTCCTCCTCAGCCCTTAAATCCACTCGGGGAATTTCCTCTGCCTCTTCCTTCACCTCTCCCATGTCCTCCTGCCAAAGCGGCTAACAAGGAAGCCTGTAGCTTTGTCTTTTTTGGGTTTTGGGGGGTTTTTTTGCTACATCATGATTATAATAAACTTTATATGCAATTGACATCAATGGTGAAATTGTCATTCCATCTGCACCATCCGCTTTTTGCAATTTCTTCCTAATGTCCGACGCCAATTGGCCAATAAACAACGTATGAAATTCTTTCGTATTACTAGCGTCGTCCGGATCCAAATTTGTACCCATTTTCAAGCTACTTCACACGTTCCTTCATGAAAAGTGGCCGATATTGTGGCCACCATTGATTACAACATCTTTTCAATTTATCTTTTGTTACGGGGTCCCCACCAAAATTATTTCAATGTTTTAGGGTGCATCCTAGCGGAGGACCACGGGGTGCCTCCTGAGAAGCAGCAGAGCCCATTTTGGTACCGAAAAGAATTTTCTAGCCCAGCGTTTCCTACACAATTTAATAGAATGAGGGACGACATCTCCCTTCGCTAACAGAATGAGGGACATCTCTCTTCATCAACAGAATGAGAGACATCTCCCTTCGCCAACAGAACGAGGGACCACGTCTCCCTTCGCCAACAGAACAGAACAGAACGAGGGACGACGTCTCCCTTCGCCAACAGAACGAGGGACCACGTCTCCCTTCACCAACAGAACAGAACAGAACGAGGGACGACGTCTCCCTTCACCAACAGAACGAGGGATGTCGTCTCCCTTCACCAACAGAACGAGGGACCACGTCTCCCTTCGCCAACAGAACAGAACAGAAAGAGGGACGACGTCTCCGTTTGCCAACAGAATGAGGGATGACGTCTCCCTTCGCCAACAGAACAGTGTGTAGAAACGAAACGGTTACACCTCTGCTGCGTAGGGCTTACCAGTGGCTTACTGCTTCCCGAGAGATTTCACCTGTCCCCCCTTTTCGCAATATTAGAAAATATCTCTTTTCAATAGCGTTGCACCGTGGCGTCACTTACCGCCCGACTGCAGGAGAGGAGGTGATGGAGTCCCCGATCAACAGGTCGGTGCGCGCTGGAATACACTCGGTTCCCTTCTCCCCGTCGGCTACGGCAAGCCGACCCGGGCAAGGCTGTCAGCGCCATCCTGCCTGGGCCACCAAAAGCTGTTGTCCCAACAGCGGGGTCGTTAGCCCGGTGTGCAGACGCCAATTAACGCACAGAGCCGAGGTATTTTATTCCCTTTATTTGTGCAAAGATGGGTGCTAGGTGGCAGTTCCACAAATCTCGCACCCCTTGCTTAACACACAGCGACATTTTATACGTTCTGAATAGCTGTTATTAGTGTTTTTACCATTCCGCTTATTCATCCTTGCTTCTATTTTTTCTCGCGAGCCTCGTCTCCACTTAAAGATACAGCGTGTTTTAAATTTCCAGCACACGCTCAGTGCTTGGGTCTGTGCTTGGGCCAGGGGCTTCATTGCTGGAGGTGTGGGTGTCACTATATTAATTCGGATCGCTCACTCATGGTCCAAGTGATTCTCACTTCGACGTAATCAGAGGCCTTGTATTCTCATGCTTATCTCGGTATTTCCTTGCTTGACTGTTTTATGGTGTCCTCCTGTTCCTTCTCTCAGGCCAGGTCTCGTTAACTGTTTACAGAGGTTGATTAACACCTGCCTTAACGTCCTTTGCCTTATTTCTCGCCTATCTCCGACGCAGGCACTGCAAGGGAGAGCACACATGGCTGGCCCAGCTGCACCGTTCCCCATGCGCAGCACCGGGGCGCTGCATCGGTGCCCCTCAGCAGATTGCGTCCCCCCTTTTTCAGCTCCACGTCTCCCCATTTCCCTTGCCCTGGGGGGGGGGGGGGGGGTGGGGTGGGGTGCAGAGACCCCTCCTGCAGCCCGGCTCAGCCCACCGCCAGCTTGATGCTACACCTCGCATGAAGACCGACAACCACCGCACGCTCTCCCAGCCCCCCTCTCCATCCTGAAGACCCCTGGCCCGCTCAGCGCCCCGGGCATCCTCCTCGCCCTTTCCCAGCCCCACTCCGGGGCTCCAGCATCCTTCCGAGATGCGGGACTCAGACCTGGTGTTTGGGATGCGGGCACTCCCCGGCTTTACCCAGGGATGTAAAGCAGCCCCGCTCCACCAGCAGCTCCTCTCCCCCAAATCACGGGCATTTCACAGACCCCCAAGATCGCTGCCCAACACGGAGATGCCCTTTCCTCTGCCACCCCACGCCTTGTCCCCTGCATCTCCCCAGGGGCCCTTTCTCTCCAAGGGGGGCTGCGGAGAGAAGCCCTGCGGTCCTTCGACCCATGCCCACCCCGAGGAGCAGGCAGGGGAGCATCACCCGGCGCCACGGGGCAGGGAGCAGGTACGCACGGGAGGTCGGCCCTGTGCCCGGTGGGGCGATCCGGCGTGGGGGTCTCCCCGGGGAACATTCACGGCTCCCAAATGCAGCTGAAGGGAACCAGAGCTTTCCAAGCAGTGCCGGTGACGCCGGGTAAGAGGTGCTCATCCCGTACTCCCCACCTCTGCCTCGGGGTCGGTTGTGGCTGCGGCAGACGCCATAAACAAGAGCTGCTCAGTGATGCCGAGCCCAGCATGAGCCAGGGGCTCCCTCCGCCTCTCCCAGCCCAGAGGCGCTGCCGGACCCTTCGAGCCCCCCAACCCTCCCCATCACGGCGGAGAAGCAGCACCGGGGCACACGGTGTCTCCCCCCAGCCGTGGGGCACTCACCGTGCCGTCCCTTGGGGTACCCCATCCTCACTGGCACGGTGGCTGCCAGCCTTCGCCCCGGCGTTTCTCCTGCCTGTGTTCCCACCCTTTTTATGGCCCTTTAGGTCACCGCCACCTTCCTGGCTCGCCAGCACTGTGTGTCCCCAAGCGGGTCCCTCCCTGGGACCCTGCTGGGTCCCCAGACCCTCTCTGGTCCCTGCCACCCACTGTTCCCAGCCCTGAGAGGTACCCACTCCTCCCCGGGAGCTTTCAGGGCTGCAAATGCATAGAATTACACATATAGAAAAGAATCACATTTCCAGAGAGCCTTAAAACCCCTATTCCTGCATTTCTAGAGAAAGCTGCACCTAAACGCAGCGAAGCAGCAGAAAACCTTGAGAGTTCATGGAAAGATAATCAAGGTTTAGAGACTGGGGGGCTCTGGGTTATCACCGTGCTAATGCCTGATTTCACGGGAAGGGGCATTTTTGCAGTTGGCCGTGGCAGCAAGAGGAGTGGGATGCTCCGGGGAGCAGGAAAAGAGCCCGATGCTGGTGGAGGATGAGCAAAGAGAAGACCACCATGCTGGGAAAAGACAGAGGGACCTGCCAGCCTGCTTGGGGGGGTGACAGAGCTTGGTGGTGACCCCCCAGAGCTGGAGAGCCTCCCGGGCTGCCATGGGAGAGGAGGTACGGGAGGCTCCGGAGCCACAGGTGAGGAGCCGGAGCCGTAATGGGCCATGAACGCAGGGGTGAGCAGAGACAGCCTGTTCATCCCGCTCCCTCAGTCTCTGGGGCTTTTCCTACTGAACCAGCTCATTATTTTTTCAGAGCTAGGAACAGAAATAACTGACAGCGAGTGAATAATCCATGAGGCTTTGGCTGAGCAGCGTGAGCATTGCCAGGGCAGGGCGGGGGCCGTCGAAACAAGAAAGAAAATATTTAATTCAACCCAAAACTAAAGAGTTGGTTCAAACAGGCACTCCCTGACCCTGCGCTGGGGCTGGGGGCAGACGTTGTCCCCCAACAGGGGACTGACAACTCACCAGGGTGCTCCCACCCCTCTGAAAAATCAGCGCGGGGGTCTCCTTCCTCACCTTCATCCCAAACTCTCCGTGAGCTCAGGCTGCTCCTTAAATAACCTGTCTCCGCCGGCGTGCTGCGCCAGATGCTTATCACTGCCCTGGCTCCTCATTAGGCTCTCAACATCCCCACCACTGCAGGGCGCTTAAGGATGGACGTCAGTAACGAGCTCGACAGGAGCCGACAAACCTCTCTGCTGGTTAAAAATGGGCCAAGAAGTCCTTTGATCTCAGTTTCTGCCCCCAAAATGAGCACGGGTGAGGTTTGGGAGCGCTCATCAGGTCCCTCGACTCCGTTCCCACCACACGGGATCGCCCAGGCACGTTCGCAGCCTCATGGAAACAGGGAGCACGTGCCACCGGTGTCCCCGCGTCACCCCGAGGAGCGGCCCCAGCCCATGGGGGGCTCCGCTGCTGGTGGAAGAACCCGGAGCCGCTGCCGTCACCGTCATCGCCACCAGCTGCTCCGGCAGCGCTAAACATAGCAAGCTATTTGGGTGGAGGGGATTTAGGGTGGCAGATTTCCTTAGTGGGGGAGCAGGTACCAGGGTGACCGTTGCATCTCGCCAGCTCCAGCGGGACCAGATGAGGGTGACGGGCACAGGAGAGCCCCGAACCAGGCATAATGAGCCCCTTGCCTGACAGACATCAGATTTGCAGCTCCCGCGCTGAGAAATCCCCAAAACAAGGAGACACAGGCCCGGCTGGAGCGTTTATGTCAAAGATAAAATAAAGCCAACGGGGTACAAGCCGAGGTAGATGGTCCAGCTACCCGCGTGGCTCCTGGCATACGTCGGGGTCGCTATAAGCTACCTGCTACATGGCCACCAGACCTCAGGGAGGTCCTGAACCCCGATGTGAGTGAACCCCAGCAGCCAACTGGGTATTTATGGGCAGAAACACCCCGGGAAGCCCCAAGATGCCCCCCCCCCCCCCCCGCCAAACCCCTCCCCCAAACACACCAACACGCGA